ACGAAAAGAACAAGCACGTAATAACATTTTATTACATAAAAAATGCGAGAACGGCGGATTGTATAAATGTACTCTTGCGATGATTGTATGACTTTTGAATATTTTTAATTGTAATGATTTTTACTGATGATGATTTGAAATAGACCGAGAGAAATGTCTAAACATTTACTGTTTATTTTAAATAAAAAATATTCGCTCATTATAACTAGCGCTGTGGCTGTATGCTCCTTGTTTTGTTTTGATTTTATATTCTAATGCCTGTTTCCACCAATGCAGATTAACTTTAATCTCAGGTTAACTTACTGTTCATCTTTTTCTAATTTTTATAATTAAAAAAAGATAAAGAGCAAATTGAACCGAGATTAAAGTTAATTTGCATTGGTGGAAATGGGCATAAGCCACATAACATATATTATAATATTTTATTTTTTTATTATTAATCTATAAATAATCGACGTTTTAGCTGCTTTTTTCGGCTATCTTTAAGATTACTAAATACAAAAAATTAAAAATGAAATAAAAGTATATTGAAAATGGTTACGAGCCAAAAATAATAGATTAATTTAATGTTCGTAAATAAAAGTAAAAATGACGGTATAAACACACGTTTTAAAACATGTTTTGACTCTGATGGCGTGGGGGGGAGGGTCATTATCAATGTTAAATATATTACTTTAAGCGGTTGAGTGTAAAAACAATTATTATTTTCTTAAATCTAATGACACGTATCATTTGTACGCCAAGTTAAATTCTATCTTTAAAAACCCAAGAGGTACTATCTTTATGTTTACTTTGAACTGGCACCTTCAATAATATCTGAGTCAATTTTCATGGTAATATATATGTAAAAGTAATGTCACAATTTTCTCTCCCTTCTCTTCTGCAGTAATACCCAACAGTTCCCAACTTTACGTCTGATTTGACTAATACTAACACGAACATGTACTTGAATACCACATTATGTATGCCAAGGTTAATTTTTTATTAAAACCTACCCTGATGTTATCCTCTTTTATGTTTAGTAGAATTACACCAACCTCAATTACTTAATCGGAATTGACTAATCATATTTGCTGTTCAGTAGAATTTAAAAACCTACTTGGTGTTATCATTATAATTTAATTTTTTTAAAATGAAAGTTATGAAGAACGTTTAATTCTTTAAAGAATTAAATTTCAAGAATTAATTACATAACTGGTACTTAGCCCTTCATTTTTAAATAGTTTTTTGTAGGACCATATTGTGTATATTAATATATTAACAATTTGACTTTAAATTATTTAAAACAGAGTGATATCCAACCATAATCATTAAAACTTCGACTCATTGCATTTCCACCCCCTTCTTTCTTCCCGACTCGCCCTACTACTCATCATTTTCACTCTCCTTTATATATGTACAATATATTTTTAAATCATTCTTTAAATCATTTTTTATATATATTTTTGATATATACATCTGTACTTTAACATAATATATTATCACGAAAGTAACTGATATTAAAATATCTATATAAATATACAATTTATACTAACTTCGATACATTACACATCCTCCCTTCTTTTATTTCACTATCTTGTCATATAATATGGATTTTTTCCCATAAAATATATCGTTTAATTAACTAGTCTTTAAAAATTCTATCTCTAAAGATCTAAGAGGTACCATCCTTATACACTTATTTAATTCTAATGACATGTATCTTTTGTATGTATATATAAACTTACCTTTTTAAAAAAAAGGTAGAAAAAAGCGCTAAGAGTGGGTGCTGCTAGTCAAAAAACCATTTGGGCCAGTTTCACCAACGTCAATTACTTAATCGACTGTAAAACTGACCAATCACATTTGCTGTTTAGTAGAACCATCTTTAAAAACCTACGTGATATTATCCTTATTTACTTAATTCTAATGACATGTATCATTTGTATAAAAGATTTGATATCAATAGTCGGCGCCAAGTTATTCTACCTTATTACTTACTTAATTTTAATGACATTTATTATTTGTATAGAAGATTTGATATCAACTGTCGGCGCCAAGTTAAATTCTACCAAATTAAAAAGTAAAACACAAGTGGTACCTTTAATCTTTAAGAACCCATATAGTCCTTCGTTAAAAAGTTATTAACCAAAAAAGATTTAAAAATAACGTACTATTTCTGCGTATATTCTGCGTACTATTTACGTGGATAATGGTATTAAAATGGTTATAAAAGCTTCCGTTGCTGCTAATATTTACCCATTTTATTCATTACTTGACGATACATTATTTAATGGATATAGAGTACACGACTTCCATGGTAAATATCGAGAAAATAGGAAGCATCTACTTTATTTGTAAAGTAACTTTCACTCCTCCCTGCACAGGGGCATACGACTTCTACGATTATACTGTTGCTATGATAGTACTGTCGGGGCAGACCTCTGTGACGGTGTGGGTGCGGGGGGGTGGCCGAAGGCCGCCCCCTTGCACCCGCCCGTGTATGTGTGTGTGTGTGTGTGTGTTCCATTCGTTATATAACGATTATAAGTCTATTACTTGATATTTTACACACCCGCACCCATACCGTCACCGAGGTCTGCCCCGACAGTACTATCATAGCAACAGTATAATCGTAGAAGTCCTATGCCCCTGTGTAGGGGGGGGGGGGATAGTACGTTATTGTTAAATCTTTTTTGGTTAATAACTTCTGAACGAAGGACGAGCGACGGGAATGGTCAATGACCTTGACCTTCTTGAGGGTCGAGGTCAAGGTCAAGGTCACTCGGAAGTCATTTGAGGCTGACTGTGTAAATCGAAATATTTACCAAAAAAATATGTCCAAATTAAAAGTTATAGAGATAAAAGTAAATTAATAAAAAAGAACGATAATGCTGAAAATTGTTGTTTTGTTGTGCTAACAAAATAATTTTGTTGGAAACTAAAAAATGAAAAAATACTGCAGCATTTCCATCGCGCTTAAATTATTTTGATAGTCCCACAAAATTATTTTCAAATTTATAACTAGTTACATAAATTTTTAGATATTTTAACAAAATCGGGTAACTTTCACATTAGGGTTTAAGAGTCTCTAATGGTCGGTATAAAGGTGATTCCTTAAATTTTATTTTTTAATTTTGTTATTATCAAAAAGTTACGAATAACAGAGCTAGAAATTCGAACCCTCAGGGCAAAATTATCAAAATAAAGTTTTTGATAATTTTGCCCTGAGGGTTCGAATTTCTAGCTCTGTTATTCGTAACTTTTAAACTTTTTCCATTTGAAAACTTTCATATCTTCGACATTTTCGTATTTATTAGATTATTTTGTTCTAAGATGTTACAAGGAAATTTTTCTGGCTGTCTTTAAAATATTTATCGTCAATTTTAGGACACCTACTGTACATATGTATACATATATTTCAAATGTATAAGGTAAAGTAAAAAAACAGACAATTCGCTTTTTATTATAATAATATTTATTTGCACTACAAAAACAACAGGGACGCTTTACATAGAGAAAATACGCTTAGTACGAGGACGTGAAACGTCGCATTTAACATGCTGACGACATTACGTTTATGAAACATCGCTTATTGGATTTTCCCAATTCGAAAAAATCCAAGAAGAGAAAATCTTTTTCTTGGATAATTCACTGCGGTGACAGACTCCCATAAATTATATCAATTGACAAGTAATGTACATTAAGGTAAATTTTAGTTTTACTTTACCTTTAGTGAATGGTATTTAGCATATTTAAATTGCCTAAATTTCATAAGTTTAACATCACCGCAATTTTCACAGGAAGAAGAGAGATAAGGTACAAAATATACTTGGATAAAAAAAAGTGAGAGAGAAAGAGAAAGAGAGAGAGAGAAACACAAATAGATAGAAACAATGCCTGGCACTATTATATTCAGGGATGAGCTATGTACAATTAAGCATCTTGTTTGTCTTGTTTTCGCCGACGATCAATTAACACCATGTGTTATCATATATAGTTATACACATTATAGGTATATAAAACTTTACAAGTATAGACTGGCAATTACCTATAGTTTCTGCTAAGAAATAGTGTTCGAAGGAATAGAGAGGGGGAGAGAGAGAGAGAGAGAGAGAGAGAGAGAGAGAGAGAGAGAGAGAGAGAGAGAGAATTTTTAGGTGTTTCTCTTTTTCTGCAAAATGTCCGAAAATAGAACATATTGCTCATGTCAATTAAATATACGGCGCGTTAGGATTACATCAGAATTGAAAATAATATATTGTAACAAAGCACGAAATAAAAATTCTTTTGAAAATGTAAAATATAGGTAATAAAAAAATACGCAGAACAAAAGTTCTTTTCTCTTTCTAAAATATTATAGAAAAAGATAATTTCAATAAAACTTATCTAATGTATATATAATGAAATAGTATAGGTATGCATGTGCACGAAACGTACTTTCGGACTTCTGTACACTTTTAGAAATATATGTAAATATTAACACGATTTTGTTTGTATTACCAATCCATACTTATAAGGTCTATTATCAAAACGTATGCGCGTGAGCAATCAAAGAAAAAATATTTGACTTTGTTCTTCGATTCTTTTAACAGTACGCATCTTATCCCTGTTAGAAAACCATAAGCCTTCCGTATCATATACCTTTTAAATAAAAAAATAGATTATTTATTCTTACTTTGTAAAGCGCGAATTGAAATATTTTTAGCTAAGGGATGACTTTCTGCTACTCAAGAGAGTGCGCAGAGAAATTTTCGACTCGTGGCTGGCGGTGCGTGAATCATTTATTTATATTTGACTGTCAATGGAGAGCGTGTCGTATCACAAATTCAAAACGATTTTACAGTTTCACCGACTCTCTCGATATGCTTCCATCGTACCATGGCGGCACGAGCTACGCCGTAACGATTAAGTTTCGATCGTCTTAAAATGACGATTGATTACGGAAATTCCTTTATCATTCATTATTGTTATTCTAGTTAACTAAAGGATGAAAATAATATAGAAATATAGAGAGAGAGAAATAGAAAGGGAAGGCAGAAAGTGGAATGGAAATAAAAGGGAATTAGACAACGGAGTAAATGAAGTCGAACGGAATCGAGTCGATTGTTTTTGGGGGAATGCGTTTGGCGGCGAAGTGTCTTGTGTTTCGCGAAAAGCTCGACGGCCATCGACGAAGAAATTGAGTTCAGGATCTCAGGGACAAGGGGGCAACACCGTGAGATTGGTTCTGTTGCCAACGTCGTACCCGTGCTCCTACTGGCAAAAGTGGCTCGGCGATGGTGCCTCCACGTGACGGTACCAACGCCGGCGGAGCTCCTCTTGTGCTTCCTCATCCCAGTCCTCGAATGAGACCTTAGATGATGGAAGTGATCAGTCGCGCCTTGAAGTTGACAAAACGCTCGCTCGTGGCTGCCAGACGCTGTGCAAATTAAAGCAAATTGATCGATTTCAGTTATTTAAGTAAGATTATTCGCATATTTCCTACTTGACGGTCTTGTACCGACTATTACAGTAAATATAAGAAGTATTCATATATATTATATATATAGGAGCATATCTTTTTAAAGAGTCTTATTTTAAAAATTAAATTAATTATGATATATAATTATTTACAATTTGCAATATAATATAATGATGTTTTATTCTAATATAAACAGAAAAGCTTTATAAGACACATATGTATATAACTTTAAAAACTATAAACTTCTCGTTTGTATGAGTATATTTTGTATATGCAAATACAATAAAATAAATCCGTTATTTGTTTCATCTACACAAGAAATGTAATATATATATATATAATTCCAAATATATTAATTTACACCTGGGGATTAATCATGTTTCTCCACTGCGGAAACATGAAAAGCGAAAATTTTTTAAATGTATATAAGTATATGTACATATTGTACACATATGTATATAAATTTTCATTTCACGTTTCCGCATTAAAAAAAAAGTTACATAATTGTCCTCCAGATATTTTATTACTCAAATTATAGTACTGTAATTCGGATAGGAGCTTGGCATGCTCGATTTCCTATCATTAGAACTAATAAGTACTAGTAGAGGGAAAAGCTAGTAAATTTCTATTATCTAAATAATTTAGTTATCTTCGATATATTCGAATACACAAAGTTATATTATTATAATATCATTTTCCGTTTTTGTATATATTATTAAAATAATATATTATAATTATTACATTTTTTAAGTGAAAAATAATTCTGAAAAATATACTATCTTATTTTCTGTTAATAAATTGTTAATTAATATTTATTTTCTGAAAAGAAAATTTTTTAAAAATATCTACCCTAAATACTTTTCGCTCTAAATGTTCGATACTTATTTTTAAAACACACAAGGTAGTATTTAAACATTTCTCAAATAATCTATTTTTCTACACATATATTGCAATTTTCCAAATTTTTTCTTAAATTATGTTATTTAATGTTAATATAAGCTAAATTTGTAGAAAAAAACTCAAAAGTCAATTTAAGAGAAAGCGATAAAAAGTTGCAAGCACTACATATGTTTCGCGGATAACGTAGAACTGCTTCGTGTTGCTCGCATCTTCGTGTAATTGCACTGCGACACAAAATTACGATGTGCAAAAGAGTTTAACGAATCGAGGAATTCCGTGCTGCGTACAAAGCGTAAACTATATATTGCTTTCAAATCAAATCATCGGATGGCACGGTGGACGCTTCTTGTGAGATAAAACGTTTCACACATTAATACACGAGAATTTAATAATTAAATCTACCAATCGTTATGTGACATAATAAAACAGTTATGATCGACACGAATAACGCAAAAAAAGAATTGTCACACAAAAGTGTTTCAGGATCAATTTCCTTTCCCTTTGCGCTCTTTGCTTAATGACTGTTGCACAGTCGATCGGCGCGAAGTTCTAATAATTTACATTATAATTTATGCTATATATATTTCTTTGCAGACATAATACAGTATTACATATAATTTAAGTGATAATTTTTCAGCTTGTGACTGTAATACACGCAAAACCGGTATGTCCGCTGTCTAGAATTTTTGCAAAGTTACTAACGTTTACGCACTCCCGCCATCATTAATTGACACACATATACATATATATATATATATGTATTTATATATGTATATATATATATTTTTTAAATATTATTTTTTAAATATTTTCTTTGTTACACGCGTCATATCTTATCACCGACGTTAATCGATTTTGACGCTTGCGTTTATCCTTAGGTTTATATCTAAATGTTATTTAATCTCTTTTCCTTCTACAGACATCATTGCATTATTTAGTTTCAAAGAAAAAAAGCAAAGATAATTTGCATTTGTTGCTTAATATCATTTCCATGTTCTGCGTATTAATAAGACAGAATATTCATAAATACGATTACACTTATTTAATTCAATATCTTTAGATTAATTTAAACAGAAAGTTTCTATTAAGTTAATGATATTATGAAAGTGAAGATAATTGCATTTGTTGCTTAATATGATCTCCGTGTATTAAAATTAGAATGTTCATAAATACAATTAGAATTATTTAATTTAATGTTCTAAATTAATTTAATCAGAAAGTTTTTCTATTAAGTTAGTAATATTAATAATGTATCAGCTTAAATGATTTAATTAATATTATTTTCTCTTTTAAATGTTTATAGTTGTTTTCTATAAATACTAATGTAGAAAACAATCTCCAACTTCGTACATCAACAATTATATTTTTATTATTAATAAATTTAATTCCTTGTTATAAATTGTTATTTTTTTGTATATGTAAATTATTATCTCCAATAATACCAATAATTATCTGCTATTAACTAATTATAAAGTTCATAAATCGTACGGAAGTAACAAATGGCCGAGCAAGAATAAACGCTGCAGTTACGTCGATCATATGATCTAAGGTGAATCATTTTCCACGGTTCGCGCGGCAATTCCGAGTGTTATGAGCGTAAAAATCATTGGTTTAAAAAATTATAGTGGATTGTATCGCGGAATGAATAAAGAAAAATCCTTGCGTGATGGTGCATGATTTAAGATATTTCAGTTCCGGCTTTTGTATTTTAATAGTTTTTAAGTATAATAGTACAACTTTTAGATTGTCATTAATACTCTATCCAATTAATAAATTATATTATCGATCGATTATATTATATGTACATATATTGCTCACAATTCTTTGGCTACAATACAATTTAGATTGTGTTATGATCTCATGATGATCGCAAAACAGATCCTGTTTTAATGATTACGAGACAACGGATCTTCTCCTATCGTATTACTGTTTAGATCAGCGATGCGCAACTTTTTAAAGAGATTTATTTTTAGAGGACTATTTTTTTAAGGTAGCAATTATATAATCTATTCTCTAAGACGAAAATATGAAAAGCGAAAATTGTTATCATTGAAGAAGAAATTTTTTATTTTTTAAGACTCAGGCCTTAGGCAAAATTACATAATAACTATCCAGAAACAAGTAAAATCTTGTTGGCTGCATAATGTTTATTTTATTGCATAAATTTGCATAAAATAAAAAGTAGAGACTTTGTATTTTTAGCTATGAGCCAGCGAACCGCAAAAAAATTTGTAGACAGGCTGCAAGTCGCGCATCACTGATTCTGATCGTCTATCACACACTGTCCAAAGGTTGAGCACCGTTCGATAAGTGCGAGATGAATAATCTCCTAGCTGGACAATGCCTACTGATTTCGTGTTTTACTGGCTTAAAATTGATTAAATCACAAAGTGAAAGCGCAGTTCGCTCGGTAACGTATGAAATATATTGCGAGTGATAAATGTCAATCCGTTCTCATCTCATTTCTCTATGATATTTGTCACCATATAAATTGATTCGGCCGTTCCTATCTTCCGCAATTTATAAAATGTAAATTATAGACTATAAAATAAACTTTCCATATTATTAAAATTGGACAACTTTTAAAATCTACGCATAACAATTTTAACCTATACATATTCATTCATCTTTTTCGAAATTATAGTTCCTACATAGTAAGATATATATGTCGATATAAAAAATAAGGAAAAAATGTCACAGATTTGCGTACTTTCGCAGTTAAGTCTTGGTCGTTAAACAGGAAAGATCCTTTGTGATAAATTAAATGTAGGGCAGTCGTCCACAAAGCGTAACGCAAAGCGTGCGATTTCGACGGTAGTAGCCGCGGCCAGTTGTCGCCTCCGGCGATCTTGCGTGCCGGGATCGGCTCTTGCATAAGTTGCAGCTGGCAAATGGACGCGCTATTTCATAGAGAAAGTCGCTTACATTTTTACTTTCCACCGATCCCGGCGACTTGCGTAATGGCCCGGTTTATATCTGAAACAACACGACGCGTCGCGGCGCTACGCTTGTTTGACTTTCGGCGCTGCCGAACACGTGACTGCGGTCACCGTAAAGGTTTAAATGCTCCGATCGCCGCTCTAGGAAATTTTAATCAACAACCGAGATAACGTGTGGCCTTAAGCCGTAATCACACTAGCGATTGTGCGACTGTGAGTGACAATTGAGGATTACTTTTCAATCAGAGCAAAGCACCGATTACTTTACTGGTTGAAAAGTAATCCTCAATTGTCACTTACAATCGCTAGTGTGATTACGGCTTTTACGCCGCTCCACAACACTCAACCTTAATAAAGTATTATGCCATAAACATGTAAATATTATGACAGTCTCTAATATGTCTCCTTCAATTCCCGAGTTTTAAGGAGGTTTTATGAAATGTCATCCTGCGTGTATTTATTTATTTTTTCATGCTGTATCAAATTTCACGTTTCATATCATGCCTCACTTATCATCACGATCTTTTTTATTAATTCCAAATGGATTTTTAACACGATTCGTTATAGAGCATTGAGTATTCATACATCTTTTATCAGTGATTATTATCCAATTAAATTGCTATATCTTAACTGATACTTCTTTATTCTTTTTTAAGCCTCGCAGTTCTTTGTCATGCGTTTCCGTCGTCGTTTTAATTAATTTTGTAATTTTTATATAAGAAACCACGACGTAAATTTCACTTGGCAAATCCGTTGAAGAAACGAATCCGTTTGCGAGTAATAATTATCGCGTGTCGACAAATGCAGTCGCTTGCGACGACAGATTGGATTACTTATCGTAGAATCGCAATCGGAATTACGTCACGTGCAGTATTAAGTTTTTCGTTTATTTGAATTAATCATATGATTTGTAGTGCGAGATTCGCAAATTTCACGCGGTGAACCGCGAATGCCCTGATTCCTATAGTAAGAAAAAAAAGGTTCCTGATCCTTTTCCTCGTTCCAATGATGTTGAAATTAGTTTTCTCGTAGATAATGAAATAGAGATATGAATAAAACTTATGTGCGTCAGAAACGATGCAATTATTTGCGCGATTGCGTACACATGTACACACCGGAGTTGAATTCTTGCAATTTCTAAATAAATTCTAATTACAGTTAGATTTATTTCTGACACAATTGTCTAACGATATTATATTTAATTTAACTTATACTCTTATTTTTTAATTGCTCTTCGACCTGTATAGTTGTTCAATATTTCATCACACAGACGTGGTTTACCTTCGCGTGGTGTGGAAGTTATTTAAAATTTTGAAATCTATAATCGACGTCCCCGGTATAATGAAAATAATACTTTTAAACTCCTACTACATTATCTGCTTATAATAAGCAGCTAATTGACGCAGATGTCTTTCAGAATATAATATTAAATAGTCGCGTATGAACACATTGTTAGCACTAGCTGTGAGCCCTGTAATGGCGATCAATTATCGATGACCAATTATCCCTCCTCTTATAGAGATCGACTAATGTATGGTACATTCTCTTCGAAAATAAGCGCAGCTTACGTAGTTTATAAATAATTATAGTTCTACAATCACACAATAATTATTGTGTCATTGAGTTAATTAATTTATTTCAAACATACACAGAAGGAATGTCTACACTTATAAAAAATACCTCATAGCGTTATGTCTTTACATAATAAGAAAAATATCACTAATTAACCAAGTAATAACGTGTTCACATTTAAAGTTGTGAGGTAAGATTCGAATTGCGGAAATCGCGTAGAAAGAATAATTTTGTTGCAATATTAAAAAATTTAAGTGGATATAGATTTAAAAATAATTTTATTAAATCATCTAAATAATTATATTAAACGTAAACAGCTTGCTAGAATGTTACAATTTTTTGTAGTATTATCATTATAAGTATAAACTTAAGCCTATACAACCTACGTAATTATTTTGATGATTTAATATAATTATTTTTAAATCTGTGTCTAGTAAAGTTAAGGTTGGAATATGCCAAGATCTACTTAAATTATTAGACACTTCAATAAAACCGTTTTTCCGCGTAGATTTTGCATAAAACGTAACTTCTTCCGTGCTAAAAAAGAAGTTACAATTAGTAATCGGTGAAAGTCTATCTGTACTCACGAGTATGAGATCCTGGACGAGATTCGAGAGTCCTCGATTAGCGATGACGAAGAACCTGGTGACTGGGCCGGGTACAGCCTCGTGTTCATCCGATTTTCCTTCATGGGTATCCGAAGAGGAGGAGCCGCCCAGCTGGTTACTTCCGCTTCCGGCGACAAGCTGGAAAAATTACAGAGACTCATTAGTATTAATTGGTGAGCAATTAGAGGGGCACCCCGCCGTTTACATTCCCGGATGGATTTCGGGATGCGCGGCGAGTACAAAATATACAGGAATTATAATATTTTGTTTGTTTGTTTGTTGGAAGGTAATAAAATTACGGTGTGTATTGCAGCTCCACGTCCAATTCCAGCGCTCCCGACACTACGGTGCTCTCACATCCTTATTCCTACTTGCGGCTACAACATACGAACCATCGATCTTGCTGCTACGATCCTTACGTGCGCTCCTTCGGCTCGTAATACTCGAAGTTTGTCTGCAGGGTGTCCATACGTTCTTTTTTCCAATTTAAGAATTATTTGAGATTATTCTTGAGCTAAAGGCGATCATGGATCGACATCCGGCTAAAGATTTCTGTATGGACACCCTGCGTGTGCACCATGAAAAGGTGAAATCGCCAAGTACCCAATAGCGACAACAGAATAAACCATATGCCACGATCAACTCTCAATAATACGCTTCGTATCCAGTAATTCGCAACACAACATAATAAGAAAAATATTGAATTTGGTGTTCAGACGAATTCCACCCATACATCACACACTTTATTCGAGAGACGTTCCGGGAACATTCTAAGGACGTTCAGAGGACATAGAACCATCCTCTGGACGTTTCTGATAGGGACGTCTCTTGGTCCGTGATGTATAAGTCTAGTTACGAACACGTCGAGTTTGTACATGTATCGTGGATTAAATTTACAATAAGTATCTACGAGATGCAGATATCTGTCTGGCAGACAAACCGGTTCCGTTGCGATAAGAAATCCCTGCTTTTTGATAACGATCATTAAACATTGTTCGCTCTTCATCCAAAGATTCAGCGCAGATGGTATTGTCAAATTATCTCTTGTCACCGGATTCGTCTGCCGCGACAAAACTGCGTGCATTTACTCGAGTGCGTTCAAAATACATAAATGGAACTAGATACAACTACGGACCGCTAGATATATACGGTGCAGTGGACGAGTACGAAGATCATAACAACGAGAGAATCGGCATTGATCAATGGCGGCCGCCATATCCAGAGTGAATCGGCCTCTTCATCAGCCGGTCAGTACGCCAGATTAAAAAAGTCGGTGGTTGTCAGCGTTGCGTCGGGACCGTTGGCCGGGTGGAACAAGATGGGATTTGGAACAAGATGAAATGGGCAAAATTATCTGGTAAATATTCTAGAGTTGAAGAAAACAATTAAGTAGCTGGGCATTAAGAATTTACGAATTGTAATCGACCGTGTACTTTTCAATTAAACTTCTTGCATTATTCGCCTTCTTCTTCGTTGGAGAGAAAAAGAGAAAAGATAAATAATGCAAAAAGGTTCAGCTGAAGAAAAGACCTCATGTTTATAATTGCGAAATTTTAAACAACGCTCAGCGCAAATTACATTTTTTAAATTGATGTCGATTAAATAGAAATGTCTAAAATATACACCAATGCCCTTTTTATACTCAGATATTTGTGTATTCTAAGTGATGACTCTATTAGTAACATTTTTAATACATGCCACATATTGTGTAAATATATTACTCGTTTTAGTCAACTAATTATACTTCAACTCTATGTTTAGGAACGTATAAATATCTAGCTAGGAGTTAAGGATGCGCAATTTGTACAAATTACATGGCAAGACCTCGTTGCAACATTAGACATGTAAAAAAGTGCGTGGATACAAAAGAAGTTGTAGCAAATAAAGAAAAGATAGTTTTATATAGAGGGAACGGTAGATTATAGAACTCGCTGTGTTGCATTACTTTCGAACATATACACGTACGCATATACAACAGGCCGATATATTAGAGATCTTGATATGCAATTCATGCGCAGCGAGACAGGCAAGATCGGTAGATGCTTTGTATAAAGGAAGGAGAAACGATATATGTAGGAAGAAGAAAAAGAAATTAAATAGGAAGAGTGTGTCGGTAACCTGTTCAGAATAAGTCGTCGTGATTAAGTCATTGGTAGAAAGTAAGTCGGAAGATTTAAGGAACGTCATACAACCAAGTCGAGAGTGATGCGTATATGTGAAAAAGTGCGGCATGCAGATAAAGATAGGTGCAATACAATGTGAGGAAGATTTTACGATTAGAGAAGAGTTACGTGAAGGAATTGATTGAAGATAATAGGATAATTAAGACATAATTACAAGCTATAGTGTGAAGAGTGCATTTTGTATTATTTTTGCTTGTAGCGCACAATTGCGATGTTACAAGAATAAATACGTAAGCTAAATGTACTAGTTAACGGACATAAACCAATTGTTAAACAAAATGATAAAACATTTTAAATATAAAGCTTTTGATGGTATGTACGATTCTAAATTAATTTGTAATCAAATTTTTATAAACAATAAATTGATTTAAAGTTGTACATATTATTAAAAGCTTAATATTTGCAATTTTGTACCACTTGTCCAACGAATTGGGTCATATCTACTAACTGTCCACTAACTGGTACATTTACCTTACAATATGGAATAGTATTTTAGAGAAAACTATGCGATAGACTTTAATCCTACAGAGCTAACGCCAAAATCTATAACACAATCTGTGAACTTTATTTAATATAAATTTTAATACATTTTAAAAAACTAAAACGACATAATTTGTATATAAAATAATGAATACTATATATATTTAAAGATTATTTTAATAAAAAGTAATCAAAATTTGAGTATGTATGCAGATGTAACATAAAGAAAATTGAATTATTTGACATTTTCGTTAAAATGACAATTGTTACAATAAATACAAATATAATAATAGATAGAAAAATTAAAAACTAGTGTAAATATATAATAATGTATCTTTATTTTAATATTATTTTGTATAAAAAGACTAAATTATTTTTATTTCAAAATTTTTGTTATTTAAACAATCAATGTAAAAGGTTCAATAGATCCATCGTCAACTCCAGAGGATAAAAAATGTGTCTTTGAGTCATATTTAATAAAATCAGATGACTGTCAATTTTTCATGCAATTTTCATTGAAAAACGTATGACATGCTGAAGAAGATTATGAAATAAAAGAAGTATAAAAAGTAGAGTAGAAAGAGAAGACAGGGAAAAGTGAGGTAAAGAAAGAAGAAAGAGAGAAGTTATATTAGTAGAATGAAATAGATACAGAAAAAGAAAAAAGAGAAAGTTATTGAACGAACTCGATAAATTCGATTGGTGCTATATACATGCAACACCAACCGTCGATTGTCTCACATTAATCCAAAGAGAAAAAAAACGATCATCCGTTCATGACACGTTATGCGTCAGATTACTCCCTTACTGAAAAATGTCACAACTCAAGAAAGTGTTTTTCTAATTATTACCATAAATGAATTAGAGGTAAACATTATTCCACCAATTATTAAAAGTAAACTAATTAAATTTTATAAAAAAACAACAAAATCATCATAATTAAAAAAAAGTGGTTTCGAGAAAAATTGTCACAACTAAAAAAGGCGTTTTTTTTAATGTTTGCAAAACATAAATAACAAAAATGATTTTTGATACTATATTAAGGATATGTTTCTCCTTTCACCAATATTATTTGACAATAATTTTCTATCAGATTAAAAAAATAATTTTTCCTTTTTTTTTCCTAGGAAACTTAATCCTTTTAGTTGTATTACTATATATTTGAAGTAAAGAATTGATTTGCGTAAAGAGATAATCGCATAATTGCGTGCCCACTCAACTACTACGATCGTTTTCCTCTACTTTTAGAGCAATACAGATCATTCGACGATCGCGAAGTCTCGAACAACCGATATTCTCTAAAAGAACGGCATATGCGAGCATCCTGTCTTATCGGGTTCGGTCGAAGAAGCGCAGTCGCCGTACTCTCTGTCGGCGGACACTTAGGCGTGTCGGAAGGATTTGGCGTACCGGTGGTAGAATGCCGGCTCCTGGGGCGGCGGTCGAGGGTGCGCCGGACGTCGGGGTGCCAGTACCGCCGGGGTTGGCGGCAGCTGGGGCGGCCGGGCCCACATCGCGCGAAGCGCTTAGCCCGAGCCCGAGGCTCTGTGTACCGGCCACGACACGGTACACCGTGCCCGCCGCTCTTGCCGCCCCGTCGGCCGCTTGCTAAACGAGAAACAGAGACGAGAACAGTTTCGTTTACTTGGCCCTCTCTGCCCCCGCTGGACGGAATCGCGTTTCTCTCGTTCATTTTCCCGTCCGTCCGCGCGATATCGCGCCAGAGAGATCGCTATTTCTCCCAGCGAAACTCCGCGCGCGCGTATCTCTGGAACGCCCTGCAATGATGGCTGGAAAGTGGTTCGTTAAAAGTACTGTAATCGCGACAAAGTGGGACCCTTGAGCCTGGACCTGGAGGGTTAATTGTGGTCGCTCGACACTGCTGATGGATTGTCACGTAATCAGTTTGCTTTGCCGTCGTGAAAAATGGAGAGGAATTAATTGTTTAACGATACGTGTCTCCGCAGGCAAAGTTGTGTGAAGAAAAACCGGTTCGGTATCGACTAGTCAATGTCGTTAGCGATATTAAGTACGATTTCTTCGTATGAACTTTGCTCATGTAAATATGCACATTTGTTAAATAGTTGAAAGTTGTCCTGCGTTGACCGACTGGGATGTCGCAGTCTAAAATGTCATTAGAAAAATTATTACCAGATATCGTTAAAAAGTCATTTCTTATTATGCTACTGTCACATTTTTTAGTAGTTTCTGAATATTATAATTAAATTTCACCATTACGTGATAAATATCAATTTTATTTAAAGTCGTTATAATTTTGCTGACTAATTTATCAATGTCATAATTAAATGTCTTCATTCAATAAATATCAATTTTATTTCATAACCGTTAAAAACCTAAGCAGAACAACGGTCACGTTACGTCAAAATGATGTCAGAATGAATCATGATTGATGGAAAAATGATTTTTACGGTTCTTAACTGCTCACATCTGTTAAGTCAAATCCATAATGTGAAATTATATTAGGTTGATGCAAAAATAATGTCGGTTTTTTACTTTTCTGATTTGATTAAAATGACAAACATCTATTGAATGACCAAAAACTGTTAATTGATTAGTGCAATCTCTTGAGTGGTTTTTAATGGATTGGCTTCAATAATTGCCTTCAAGGTCATTGTCAATAATTGTAGGCCATCCTCAACTCTTTATCATTTTCAAGAATGTCACTTCCATTACGAAATTTTTGAAACCATTATTATACTATCCGTTTATTTGTAAATAGTTTCCTAGCCGAATGTTTCATTAATTCTTCGACTCGTTTTTCTGCTGTTTTAAAACTTAGTTTAAATTTGTATTTAAAAAATTCGGAATTGCTTATTTTTCATATTTATAATAATAATGATAATTAATTGATCATAAAAGTTAATATTAAAAACAAAATTATCTGAAAACTTTAAAATGATACAATATGAATACAATCTCGTACATACGAATCTTATTGTAAAATAAAGTCCCTAAAGTTTAAAATAATTAAAACCGACATTATTTCTGCATCAACCTAATAATTTTAACTAAATTTTCGATAACATCTATAACTTATTACTACTCCTACTCATTATCGTTAATTTAATTGAGACCAATGAAAATCATTTAATTCAAGAAACTACATATTATATATCTTTAACTCAAATTTTGTTTATTATTTATTAAATGCGTATGTTAACATGGATGCTCAAAACACAGAAATAAATTGATTTATGCATTTTAAATCACGTGGAAGTTAAAAATTAAAAATTTTATTTAATTTAAGACAAGTTACCGTTGTCCCTTTGATATTTAACAGTGCATAAAATTTTAAATTGATAATATCAGAAGCGAAAAAACAATTAATGTAATAAATTAAATAAATAAATTTGCATTTGATAGAGTACACTTATAAAATATATCATAAGCTTTTTTTATCTCACTATAGAATAAAATCATGTTTATTTCAATTCAACAGCTATTACAACATATAGTTTTTAGATATAATTAAATTTCAAATATATGTATTTTATTGATAATCAAATACAAGAGGAATTTTCGATATGTATTATTTAACAGTTCCATAATTCTATTAATTGTAAATATTGTTTTATTGAAAAATATTTACATTTTAATACTATTCGCAAAAATTTCTTCATATATTTTCTCGCTTTTAATATAATCCAAGATGGCTATAGTAAGTAAGCTTAACAATTATTTTTTAATCATTTTTATGTTATAATGACTTTCAGTTTGGGAATTTTTGTTATAAATTTTAAGTGAAATCGTGTAAAATATTATTTGTTCTTGCCGTAAGAGGACAAAGTGGTTTTAGCATAATTTATTACTTATTATTAACAGGTGAATATACCTACGGTAAAAACGAATAGAGTATCGGTCACGTAGTAAGTTTCTTGTTTTCTCAATCTGTGAACGGTGAAGGGTCGCAGCGCGCGACCGGTCTAGAATCGTTTCGAGCCATTCGTAATAACGTCTTTTTGCTAGGAAAGCGGATAACGGTGACAGCGACCATTGGAAACGGTGACTCGATTTTCGCGTGATTGCATCTGTCCTGTCAGCAAAAAACCCGTTTCGCCGATATAGACACTATGTGGAAAAAACCGGTCGCCGAGTGTCGTTGCTGCGCGACACAGTTATTGTTCACGCTCTTCCACGCGACAATACAACACGCACGATCATTTTTTCTTGAGAAACATACACGCGACATAAAAGATAAAATTATCTCATAGCACGTCACGCGTATAGCAATTAAATCTATTAATGCATTATTAATATGTTATTAATAAAATTTTTTAATGACGTATTATACGTATTTTTTAAGAAATTAAACAAAATTTTTTTTAATGTTTACGATGACCGATCTTTTTATATTGTAAATATTTGAATGTAATACAAAAAGTTTAGCAGTGATATAAAATTTGAATAAAAAATTATTTTAATAAAAAGAATACCGTGATTAAAAAAAATAAATTAAAGTAAAATAAAGAAATTTTTATTTAAATTATAAAATTGTGTTGTTACATGTAAATATTGATCTTTTTTTTTATTAAATGTTTCCTTTTGTCTGTAACATTTATTCTCTCTCCCTCCCTTCCTCTCTTTCTCTCCTAAATAAAAAATATATTATAAATTTTCTTTCTAATAATTTTTTTGCAAAGATTATACATATAATTATATATCGTTACATAAAAAATTTAATCAAAATTGAAATCCTTTTATAATTTTATAATAAATAATATATTACTAATATTATAATGGAGAAGAAATATAATGTATATTATACGGTACGCATGATTTTTTCATTAGTATTATACTATCTTCGACACAAAAAATATCTTTGTAATAAAAAGATAATGAATAAGATTTTAAAAAATTAAAGGCGTCGAGGGCAAATTTAACTCTCTGTTAAGTATACCTTTACAGGTACCCCTACCAGCGAGAGCTCCCAGTAGGGAAAGATAGGTTAGGTTACGAGTTTCATTTCTCCACACCCTGACGCCTCTGTTTGGTTATGCCTGCATCGTGTATATATTGTGTTCTTCTGATTGCGCAACGCTCTCGAGAAACTCTGCTATACTTCGTCGCGTATCCTAGCGGTATCACGCGGTATCACATCTCATACATCCTTTTTAATTGATCTTCCGTCGGTCAAATTGGAAAGCACAAAGCATTGATGCTATTTTTTAAAATAATTACACACGGTATAAGTATTAAATATCTGTTAACCTTCTGAGGACCGGCATATTTTTGATCGACTTTTTTTATTTTAAAGGCTAGAACTTTTTTGTCAATATTGTGAAGTTGAGTGTCGCCATTGTCGAGTCTTATTTTTCGTCACTTTTTTTTACTCGCGAGCAATAAACGGGATTACCATCAGATGGAGTTTAATTTCTTGTATTCGAAAACCATACAGAACAGAATAAAAGGTGTAGCATTATAAGAAATTTCACCCATGTTCTAATGAATACTAATAAAGTATTTTTTGTAAGCGAATCCTCAAAGGAGACTATGATGAAAGGATAATAACTCTTAATTGCATACAGAATACGACAAGTATTGCAGGATTCATAATTAGGATGTATTATATATTGACAGTTATACCACTTTGTTCTCTTTTGTGTAAAAATGAATTCAGGAATCTGATGTTATTGGACATTATATGTGCTAAACTATAAAAACTAAAAAAAGTTTATACGACTAAAAAATATTTACGGAAGTTATATTTTAATTATCATATAAAAACATTAATAAAGATGATTGACAGTGTGATATTTGTCACCTTTTAGTTATTTTTTGGTCAACTATATTCTTTCATTAAAAGATACCTTTATAAAAATTTAGTCATCTTTTAAACGATTTTTTATGTTCTCTAGAAAAATACAATCTGAGTAACACTAGCATTCATGCAATATACTATATTTTATACGGTGTATAAAATATAATAGAGCAAGAAATATAATGTATGTAATATTGTTATTTTAAAATTAAGAATCTGTTTTATCGATATTTCAATCGACTTTGTTCGTCGTTTCACTATTTCTTTAAAAAGCATTGAAAACATAAGGAAACAGCTTTAATTTCCTATAAGTGTAAGTATTTTTATGTAACAAATATTAAAATTGGTCATATCACAAATATAGCATTTGCAATTACAATTAAGTAGTTGATTTATCTTCTATATCTTGTCAATTCTTAATTTAACTAACTCGTGGCATTTCTCTGACGTTGTATATACGAAACCGCGAGTTTCATCGCGTGGACTTTAATCAAGGACATCGGCTTTGGTGAGAATCTCGATTAAAGTAATTCTATCGGCCGATCGTGCCTAGGTCAGGAACCTTGGAATAGTAACAGATGGTGCAGCGGCGGTTAAAGGCAATTCGGTTGCGCACTTTCACTGCCGTCTGTAGCTAGTAACCTTGCGGTTACTCGCCCGTTACTGGAATATCAAGTGTATTCGAGATTGATCACTCGGCGCGTTATATACGATGCAACCGCGAATCTGCTTTAGCTTCCCCATTCGTCTTCTCTTGAGTACGATTCCAATCTCCATTTTTTACGCAGCATTATCAATCAAAGAAAGTTATGTCTGAGATACCGCAACTCACCCTGATAATGTCGAAGAGGAAATTGCCCGAGCCGGCGCCTCCACCGGAACCACCGCCGAAACCAAAGAGGAATCTCTTGTCTCTATTCTCATCCTCCTCCGTCTCAGTCTCATCCAATGGCGTCAACTCCTGCGGCGAACTGTCGCTCGACACTTCGTCTGCAAATTGCACTCGCACCTCGTTGTTCTGCGATTCCGATCCGATCTCGTTCACTCGATTCTCTGATTCTGGGTTCACGTCCTGTAAAAAAAATTTATCCTATGGCTGACAAGAATCTGGGGGACCATTCCTGAATTTATATTGCATACGAAAATCTATAATATACGTTATACGTACATTGTATATAATATATATATTACAGTATTTTCCCGAAACTAATGCTCTAGGCACGATATCTCGCGAACCTTTTGCCAGAAAGAATAAAGAGCAATTTATTTGTTTCATCATATAATTTACATGTGCGTTTTGTAGCATAATAAGCAACACGTATAATATAGATATATTGTGACATCGATTGTTAATGACTTATTATTAACCCATCGATCATTGTTGATTCTTTCAATGAGGAGAAATGCACAAAAAATTACAATCGTATATAACAAGTAGGTCGTCTGCATAATTCCAGGGTTTGTAAAGTGTATAGTTAAGACTACGTAATATTCCAACAACGTTTCCTATAAATTATTCATGATATAATGGCTTCCGTTGCATAAATTTATATTTACTTTTCGATTGAGCTTTTTTGTGCACCAGAGAACTAAAACAAATATGATTATTACTATATTTACTTCTCAACCTTTTAACTACATTTATATAACAATGTCAAAACAAGTAACATGCGAATTACAAACAATACGTCTCATAGTGTGTAACATGCATAATCAACAAGCGATACAAATGGCATGTTAATAACAAGTTAAATAGAATATTTTTAACAAATGTTATTTATGTTAGATTATACTATTTCGTGCATCACACGTAATCATCAATGATTCATCGAACAAAAAGTTGAGCATTAATTGGATCATTGATTGCTAATAATTTGCAAGTATTATTTGAAAGAAGTATATATTATACGAAGCATTCTACGTCAAACTGGGCACCTTTGAAACATCGTCATTTTTATTTTTTAAGTTTGCCGACATATTCTGCAGATAAATATATAGAATACGTAATCGATTTATGAAAAAAATTTGAGAACTTTTTTGTGAAGTTAATCATGCTTGTAAGATGCAGAAATTCATAAAATACGTCGCTCATGCGAATATTTAAATTATTATATTGTCGAAACTATTAGTTGTACAAAAAATGCAAGATTAATTTTAAAGATCCTAAATTGTTCTATAGATGGATTATTTTTAATTTATCATTTTCATATAAAAAAATAAATCATTTTTCTTTAAAAATGTTACTAAAAATTGTAAACAAATGGAAAATGGTTTATTTATATGAAAATGATAAATTAAAAATAACTCATTTATAGAATAACTTAAGATGTTTAGAAATCAATTTCTTATATTCTCTTTTGTGGACTACGTGTGGAATGGTTGATACAATCTGAATGTATCAGCAACGTTTTTTGTAAATTTCTGTAATTTACAAGCGTGAATAATTTTAAAAAAATTTAAATTTTTTTCGAGAAATACGTATCTTATATATTTATCTGCAGAATATGTCAAATTAAAAAAAAAATAAAAATGATGTTTTAAAGATGCCCGCTTTGACGTGAAATATCTCATATGTAATAGTATCGGTACTATATAAGAAAAACGTAAGCAAAAACTATTTTTTAAGATTATTACAGGCACGATTACCATTAGATTGATTCAATGACAGAATAAAAAGCCAAAGAAGGCTATTTGAAAACATTGTTTTAAAATGAGCTTCCAAATTTGAATTAAAAAATAATGTAACAGTTGAAATTTCAGAGTTTCATGAAGGAAGAAATATGATAGAGATAGACGATATAAATGTTAAAGTCTGATCTTGTGAATTTATATCAGAGTTAGATGACGAAGAAATAAAAGTTTTGAATACACATAGATTTTGTATGATTCTTACAAAAATACATATATACAAGATGTTCAACAATAAATGAGAGAAAATTTAATGAGTTATTCTAGATAATAAAATGGAAAATCATCAATTAAGATAAAATGTCAATGGACGTTTTGTTTTTTAATTATAAATATCTAAATATTGTAATATTTTAAGTATTATGACAGAAATGTTCTAGGCATTTAGATATTTTTTTTTTTTAAATATAGATATTATATTTAATTTAAACATATATATATAATATAATTAAAAAACTTTATATTAAATAATTTGTTATTTTTTATTTCTGTCTTATTTTATTAATTATAATAACTCCTTAAATTTTTTTCGTTTATTGCTGAACTCTGTTTGTATATAAACATGTAATATGAATAGTAGGCGAAAAACACGCACAGATAATTGAAGTAATAAGATGGAAAAGACCCAGAATCAATAAAAAAAATTGTTGTAGACTTTGTAGCTTTGGTGAAATAGATAGATTGCCATAAAAGATCGTAGCAATATGAGTTGCTAGTGCAACATTAATCGATTAATAACTAGATAAATAGCAAACATGAGGACAAAAAACAGTTAGCAACCGTAACGAAAAAACGTGCGCAACCGCGGCAGTCCTGGTTGCGCGGTAACTTAACGGTGATTAAATCCTTTGAACCCTGAGTGGTCGATCGATTCGATTCTCGTTTTCTCGAGCACTCAATAAGTAATTAGCACATAAAGTAGACAACGCAGTGCCGCAGCAGTCCTGAATGCGCGGTAAGGCATTCTGGCAAGGTAATTCTGTAATTCTGCATTTCTCGTAAGGATTCCTCAAGGTCATGACCTCGAAATTTTTACCGAGCTGCTGATCAATCAGTCACTGCGTAGTGGTGACCTCGTTTTCTGATAAAGACGGTGTCGTTGACTTTGCTGTGGTCGTCATAGTGTCGACAATGTTGTCTCTGCTCTCTGCCGTTATCGAGGATGAGGTGGTGGACGAAGAAGAATCAAACGTTTCCTCCTCATCAGGTGGAAACGTCGGCAAAGAGATCGACACCTTAGAAGCGTTATTCGAGTCAGCTGACGTGGACTCATCCTCATCATCGTCGAAGGGCGACTTGCCCTCTACGCTCGTACCTTCGTCGCTCCTCTGGACGTCTGTCGAGCCCGTGTTGCCCATGCCACCGCCAAGGATATTGCGAAGGACGACCGGACCAAGGACACGAATGACTTCTCCGATAATAGAGTTGACCTTTGATTCGATTCTCTAGAAAACAATAGGCCTTAGCTGGAAAGTCTTGCAGCGTGATGATAAATATTCCTCCTTTTCTTTTATTGTGACTTCAAGACATCACTTTGCAGTCGCGTGATCAGTGGATGATATGATATCGATCAACCCATGGCAGTGATCATTGACATTTTTTATTTATGAATGATGTGGACTTATGACGTTTTCTTCATCCTGTACGAGGATCTTTTTACATATCCGATCAATCGTTTTGCTAGTTAATAAATATTTGTGTAATTGATCGATGCAGTGCTTAAGTATGACTGACTTATTGTTTCTTATCGCATTATCTCTTATTACCGAGCTTGGGCTTCCTTTCAACAGCACTATAAGTCATAGAAAATCAGGTTTACCGCTATTACATAATACACTCGGCGCTCAGTGAAGCAGGTATTCAGTGAGAATTTTACGATTCTACTTTAAATACAAAGACGGAATTAAACAGGGTTTTCTTTGAAATGTAGTTATTCCGTAACCCGGGAGGGACCTTACAGTGTCATTTCGTGCGACCGTCATCAACTCTTCATGCGTTCGTTCAATCATTCGAGGACGCTGTCAGAGAAATTTCGACATTCCTCCACGAAACGATCTTCCGGCTCGCGCAAACCGCGACTTCGCGGCAATGTGAGATAACTAACTCACGCTATTCTGCAAATGTTCGTTACTAAATCAATCGCCATTGTCGTGCACGTGCACGCACATGCAACCGCATGCATAAAAAGCCCGGCGTTGCTGGCCAATGCCGAGGAAACCATTTGCTAACAAGACAAAAAAATCGCACAACGTATTATTAGTCAAATTAGGAAGTTATTCGTGAACAATTCAATATGCAACATACGACCAGAAGGAATTTCACACGCAAGAAAGAAACTTTCCCGAGAATGTTTAGTTTTTATAAGTAGGAATCTCTATTACTTCGTTGATGATCGACATACATATTTTGCACTGCGCGATTTTTTATTAGGACCGTAATAAAACTTCCCCTAACAAAGTTCTCATAAAAATTCTCATTGTATAACTGGTACTGCAGATTAAATGAGAATTCAGAAAAAGATAGGAAAAGCACAAATACGAAAAATTTTATACATCTAACAGGAAGAATCGACGGAGGCGCAATTATTCTTTTTTAATAGCATGAAGCATGACGAATCGCTTCCGTTCTCTTCATGCGGAATAAATACTCATGAAATGAGATCGAAACAAATCGATCCGTACGTGAGCGTACGAGTGAATGAGCAAAGGGTAGTTGGCTAATGCGTTGGCTGTCTCTCAAATCGTATGCGTTACTTTCTCGGTAAGAATGTAAGGCTGAAGTGTTCAGGCGAGCACTGCTTTTTTTTTTCACGGCACAGATCTATACAGATCGACGAAAGCAAAGTTCTAATTGGTGTCAAAAATTCTTAGTGTGTTTCAGCCTGATGCGAATTGCTCAAGGACGTCTTATTGCTCCTTGATAATGTTTGCCGAGGCGAGGTATATAATCTGCGATGATAATTTATGTACAGTCTCGCCTATAAAACGCCACTCGGCGTGTCAGTCTAGTCCTGGCCTTCTGCAGGATTTCTCTGACATTCACGTATCAACGACTGCTCACCTGGGAAATATCGGGGAAGAGCTGTCGTAGAATGCCAATAGTCCTTTTGCTCCTCAGGGCAGCCTCGCTGTCGGCTTCGGCCATCACCAGCCGATCAAGGGCCTGAAAGAAAGTTTTCTTGTTGGCCCGACAGCTGTTTTGAATTTGAATCTTTATGACAGCAAAGATGCTTTTCAGCTAATGATCGCAGGATATTAAGCGTTATCAGGTTTCGATTGACATACACCTCGTAGATCTCAAATCTTCGAGGCTATACACATTTACGGATTAATAAGCCGATGTTTGATTACGAGAAAATGGTTATCTACTTAAAGTAAGTAGTCACGCGGACTTCTAACAGTTACGTAAGAGCTTTTAAGTATGTATAAACTGCATAGGATCTTTACAACCTACAGAGCACTGGAGTATATATCTCGTAAAGCGCTAGACAATAATTTGAATTATGATGATGATGAAGAAGGAGATTACTAAAGGAGTCTTTTTGTCCTTTTTGTTAAAATAACTTGTGCATCGCGTCAAAGTGGCATTAAAATATAACGCCGAACTATGTATCTGCACGAAGTAATGACAAATAAGGAAGTGTCGTGATACGTAATTTTCCCGCTCGAGCTAAAAATGGTTGGTAAAGGCCGTGGAATTTAGTGCATTTGAGAATGTTAAGGTAATTGTGTTGTGTAATGTTTTTTATGTTAGATGCTAGCCAAGCAAGGATCATTAATTTAGCGCCACTGAACGGATTTTACTATTTCCTTCACGAAGACACAATAACAAATTCTCATAAACTGATATTTATGTATCACAATTAACATTTATTGCATTATACATATTATGATAATGAAGACAGCTATTATCGCCGATGTTAATCGTGACAAATATGATCTCAAATGTATATTCTTGAGTATTTATTAAAAAAAAGATTGCGCGAATATGAATATATTAAAGTTGCAAAATTGTTTCTGGTATTTATATACAACTAATTTAGTCGAAATTACGAAATGTTAACATTCGACTATATTTGTGTCATCAAGAAGGACAGCCTGTCTTACGAAAAGGTGAATCAAGTACAGTGTATATTTTATATCAGTTTCACATTAAATTTCATACTGATGGGGCTAGATTGGCCAATGGGCGGGTACCAAACCCAAATGTTGCTCAACCGAAGCGTTATATGGTACACTTTCCCTCAAACCTCGTTTCACATTCATATGATCGCCGTCGTATTCGTCTCAACCAACTCTGGGCAAGAAATTTTGTTTGTAAATTTATTTTCGTACGTTTAAAAATCTTAGAAATAGGAGAATAAGGAAAAGTTGATATATACATTAAAATTAATATATTGAAAATGACAAACAAAAATTGATATATCACATCTTCTATTTAATTACATTCACGCTTTCACATAATTCTTTAATACCTTACATTAATTTTTTTTACTCTTGTCTTACTACATATATAATACATATTAAATTTCTAATATTATTTGTGCAATTATGTATTTTAGTATTTATTTTTAGCATAGTACACAGGCAAAACAGTTTTGTTAAAGTATTTAAAATTTAACTAGATACAATTCTAAAAATAATTTTAGACCTCAAAATAAATATGTATAGGATACTCAAGTTGGTTGATAGAATATCAAGATTTTTTACAGCATTGTTCATTATGTTTGAGCGTTCTACATAATTATTTTGATGGTAAAATTATTTTTCAGATTTAGCTAAACTTCAAGGTACTTCGACAAAATCATTCTTTCTATATATAGTTTCTAATCAAACATATTTATATCCTGCATTGAAAAAAGAATTTGGTAATAGCTATGAAATGTTTAGTAAAATAATGTCAATTAAATATTTGGTTAATATAGTTTTAAACATAATTATACTTTTACAAATATTTAGTAAATATTGCCAAACGGTATTACCAACGGTAATATTTACTAAATATTTGCGTATAGGTAAAATTATATTTAATTACGTTAACTGAACATTTAATTAACATTAAACATTTGGTAGCTATTACCAAACTGTTTTTCAGTGTATGATTTATCCTTACACGTCCGAGGGGATTTTTTAGAAACTTTTAATACAAGCCTTTCACGTTCGTATTCATCTAACCATTTATGTTTGTATCTACTTGTCCCACCCACGTTATCTGTCACGTCTTGTTATCTCGTATCCTTCAACTACGAGCGAAAATGCGGATCGAACGTAAGGCCAGTAATTTGTTTGTACACAATGTTCCGTATATCACACCGTGTTGTTAAATTGCACTTGTGCGTACGCACCAGCTTTCCATCGGACGCCTATCGACCGAAGAAAGTGTCCGGCAAGTCTGCCGATGCTGGCGGCTAGTGAAAGTGTCGGAGCGAGGACGAGAGCTGGTCGGACGACCCGGGTTTTCGTCGGATCGTATACTTTGAGGGTTACACCGTGCACTTTACGGTCGCATAACCGAAACATTGAACTCCGCACGAAGGCGCTTGTATCCGGACATTACGCGCAAAATGTTTTCCAAACGAACAAATCTCTTTGTCATGTAACCGTCCGGCCGGTAACCATTTTTCCAGCGTACTTATGCGCGTATTGCATGAAATCAAATTGTAACGGCAAGTTACGTAAACAATGATAATTATCAATAAATTATGGTAAACCCTAAGTTTAAGTAGCTATGACAACAGCTATTGACAGATAAGTTCTTCAAGTAACAGCTATGATTTCTGAAGTCATGTAATAACGTAACAGTAACCGTAATAACGTGCAATGCCGCATTTTCGAGGAATCAAGAATTACAAAATAATTTCCGGTCACTCTACGGATAATATTTCAAACGTAAAAGATTTCCACGTCATTAGAGCATTATGTGAAAATGCATTATGTAAATTTTATATCAACATGAGCATTTTTGTGATAAAATGTATATTTACTAGTAGGAGTATAGAAAGGAGAATTTATTCACCGTTTACTAGTATTTTCGAGCTCCACGTTGTTAAATGAACAAATTTTTATTTGTGGTTTCGTAAACCACAAGCACAATACATAGTCATAAAGTATCAATCGCGATTGTTTTTTGTCGATTTATTCATATTACTGTTAGCTTCGTCGCGGTGACATTGTTCGAGTGAAAGACTCGTCGAAAGTAAAATGTCATCTTCGGCCATCGAATCAATCAATTCGATAGAACGATCGAGCATTTAACGCTCGTAGACCGGAATGTAGCTGAACTTTCGCGATCGAGAAGAAATAATCTCGTTTGATCACCCATGTCGCTTAATAATTATTAATTAATAACCATATACGTAATTTAGTAATTTCTATGTTTCGATACAGAGAAATTCTCTGCGACATTATTTTCTGCAAATCAGACTTTCTCCTTAATCGGTATAGGAAAGAACTAAAGATAAGACCAGTGAAGAAATGAAGATTAATGGAAAAGATTAATGGAAAATGTTGAGGTTGCTATTCAGTGACACAGTGAAAATCTTTATAACAGTCACGCATAATTTTACGCAGGAATCGATTAGCTCTTGTACCGCTAATTGCAAAATAAGTAGTAAAATTTTCACGCTATGTCACACTTGAAATTCGGCCTCGAACTCTGTTAGTTGTGTGTCACGTGCCATTCATGTTAGATAATTAAGCGATAATGCATGGGAGAAGTAGCCGTTAATGCCGTGAATTAATCTCCGCAAAAGAGATGGCGAAGTTAAAAGAGAAAGGCACGAGATGTGCCGCTCACGTGCTTACCTCTGATCGGAGTCCGTCTTCCGGAAGCGGATGCGAGCTCACTAATGCGAGGCAGAGCGCAGCCATCAATGTTAGAATAGTTAATCTCATCTTGGTTCGTATAGATGGATTCTGCGGAAATAATATGTTTATTTTAACATATGTATTTATGATTACAGTAGCAATTAATTCCTCATTAACGCGTTACAATATCGCATATTTTTCACGATCAAATTTTCATGTTTCACGCGATACGGATTATACCTAGCGGATCGCAATCCATAGACTGAGAGAAAAATGTTTGGTATTTGGAAGTATAATTGCATGGTAAAATAATTATCTAGGGTCTTTATTTTTATTGTTATTACTGCTATAACATTAGTAATAATTTATAGTTCTATCAAAACAAATATAATTGACAACGAAAATGATTATAAATTATAGTTATATTATTTATAATACTAATGATTTAAATATTGATGATTGTAACTATTTTTTTCCTAGTATAGGATTTCTCGAAAACAACCTTAATATTATACGTATTTCGTATAAACTTCTTTAGATTATTTTAGAAATAATCGTTCCTTCGAAGCACATGCAGTGTGAAAATAAATATCCGGATATAATGCGCGCGTGATGAAAGTGAAAGATTTTTCACGGGTCATAATTCTACTTCTCTCATGATTTTCTAAGATGTATTCAGTATGTTTCTCGTTCTCTCTCTGTTCCTCCTCCCCTCTCTCCCCTCTATACAGACACGCAAAGACAAGTTGCAAGGTAAAGCGGAAATCGTTCACAAGGATCATGACAAGACGAAGGAAACATGAAGGCGCATGGAGGAAAGAGCGAAGGGGAGAGACGCAATGACTCTCCTTTCTCGAACGTGGATCCGTTCGCGACTATCACTTTCGACGGAATGAAAGTGGAGAACGCTATGCTGGCGTCTTCAAAGGTGGCGGGAGGAAAGGCGAGATAAAGCGTGCGCGAGCTGTTTAATTAGTCGCGATTTTAATAAAACACACTCGTGCTTGCTGCGTTTTATGTCCGCATTAGAATTATTTATTAATTCATGTTCCTTTTTCGAACTCTGTGGAAATTCGCTTGTTTCTTGCAACCAAGTAAAATTATTTCTCATTTCGTGATATAAAGCTTCGAAACGCTGACCATAGTTCATAAAAACCGGTTACAAGTATGTGAGAGCCTTCAACGAACCAAAAAAGAAAACTCAACCAACGTGTTTAATTATTCTCAGATTACTTAATCGAAAAAAAAAATATTTTCCAATTGATTTTATTCTAAACCGAACGTAAAATTATGGAGATATTTGCCTTTACTGAGAAACGTGCACTAAAAAAAGATCTAGTAATAATAATAAATCAAGCCTAGATAGTAGTTACTAAAGCTTTGAAATAATACCAATCAAACGGTTCACTTAATATAACTATACCAACTAAAAAATATTAAACGTTAATTTTACTTTTTCAATTATTATCTTACTTTTTTAATTATTACCGAACTGTTAATTACTATCATGTTTGGTAATATTTACTAAATATTGCATCAATACGCTAAACAAAATATATTTGGTAGCTATTACTAGACTTTTCTTCAGTGTTGTTAATGCGCGCGTAACTTTGAAGTTTGCTAATGTATGCCAACGTACTTATGTGCAAATAACTACACGTGCATTTGGTACGTTGAGGATGGATCATGGCGATATAATAGCATTAAGACGATATAGATTCAGCACACATCACTTCTACTCGGGGACAATGTTGCAATATTCTATTTTCGAGGCCACATAATAATTAGTTTTAATTGGTATCTCCATTACTACTTCGCAAAGAATAATTTACATTATGATTATGTTATGATAATGCATAAATTAAAGATTCTTTTCTAATTAAGAAATAAATATACTCTGAAGTTTTTTTAAGTAAAGTTAAATTCGAGAAGACAATTACTCATTTCGTAAAAAGAACCATTAAATCAATATTACTGTGATAAAAGTGATAATAAAAAACTTTGTTTTCTATTCTCTGTGAGCAATAAAAATAGAGAATAAGTAAGTTTGCAATCAAACTGTGGCTATAAAGAGAATTTTTTCGAGAGACTTCTTGTATGAAGAAAAAATTGATATTCTTCAAGCATGGGCGAATTTAATTCGTGCTGATTGTCATAAATTTCAATTTTTACTTAAAACTTACTGTTCTGGCCCATTTCATGATTTTCAACTTTTTTTCTTGTCTTTTTCTATTTCTTAAATTATTCTTTACATCAATAATTTTGTAAATAATATTTTTTATATTATTATTCCAGTAAACTGCTAATTCTACGGAAAAGATTCCACAGTTTCCATCAGATAAGTAATTACGGAGGAAATTGTGCGTCCAGATGGAAAGAGATTTCTCCGGAAAATCGCGATTCAAGAGCACTTTCATAAAATATAAAAATTATATTATGCCGTAACATTCCATACTGATTTTTTGCGTGTAAACAAATTTGCATTTTTTCATTTTATCAATAATTATACTTTTATCTAATAATAAATAAAAATATATCTAATATTGTTAATTTTATCAAGCGATAAAAATATCTCACGAGTTTTGCCTGTCTGCACTCGTCTTCAAGAACACACGATTAACTCAAAAGTTTCCTACTTATCATCACCTCGCCACGTGGTTGTCGCGTTCGGTAAATTCTCCACGACACTGAAGATGAATACACATCTACCCGGAAAAGACACTGACGGAGTTAGAAACGCGAGATTTGTGTAAACTCACCACGCACAGATACTATCCGTCACACGATTCGCCGTAAATATCAAATTTCTTTTTAAATAAAAAAAAAAAAGATCTTGTGTGGGGCCCTAAAGGAGCTCTCGGCGGCTCCTGCTCTCTTCGGGGTTTTCTGTTACTGTCTGTGTAGCGACGCTTAGTGAGCGGCTTTTATTAGAAGGAGGGGCCTGGCACCACCTCCACGCTACACTTATGTCCACGTCTGCCTCTCATTCTCTCCTTCTGTCAGGTCTACATGAGAGATCCTGAAGAAGGGATCGACCACATTGATAAATTTCATTTCAATCGTCGAAACGTAGATACATCAAGGATAATCGTCAAGAGATGCATCCGTGTGTGGCGAGCTTTCAAACGTAACAATGTAATTTACCTTTTGCTGTGCAAAGTTTTACACTTAAGGAGATTTTTTTTATGGATAAGAATAGTACTCAACATTTTGATTAAATATTATTTTCAAGCCGCATAGTATCTAAAAAGGAAATCTCTGTTATAATATTATGCATGGATAATTAAACAGCAAAGTTTGTCCTCCTATCGGATTTCTCATTTATAACAATTTAAATCTTTTCTTTCCTCTCTGCAGGAAGCTCTGGAACAATATCGATAAAATCGATAGTTAGTCTTTTAAAGTATAAGAAATTGACATATATATGTCAGAGATATAAGCGGATAATGTCATAAGGCATGGCATAAGATTGAAATGTGAATAATTATTTTGAATAATCGAACGGATAATTATGAAATATGATTCGCTCTAAATGTTAGTTAAAACGCTTAAAACGTTTATTCAAAACACATTTTTTTATATATGATATATTTACGTATAGTTTAGCTTGCAACTACAGGGTTGTCACAGATAATTACAAAAATTAATGGCATTCGATTATTATTTATTACGCTCATCTATCCATTACTGATAAATAATTTTACTTACATTACAAAGCAGCAAATATAGCAGTGAAACTTTATTTTTTTTTCTGATAACCAAATTAAATGTAAATCTTTGTTGATTAGTACAACATATAATGGGTACATTACGGTAATTACACGCGCAAGGTAATAAAAGTACATATAAAACCACTTCTCTCTTAGAGGTCATGGAAAATCCTAACTACATATAAATACAATACATAGTTTTTAAAGCCGTTTAATCATAATGATGCCACTTGTTATCCTTTTATAGTTCAGGGTTGAAACGAACAAGTTTTTAATATGCTTGGTTTGTATCTTGATATAACAAGGTGTATCACAATAATAGGAAGTAGAAAACATGTTACTGCTTGCATCTTAATAGGCAGGTAACCCTTTGCGTGAGAAAAGAGCAATTACGTTTATATACTGTAAATTTATACTTATGATTCTTATTACTAGTTGATTTATTCTTTGTAAAAATATTTATCTATAATTACATCAGAGATCGCCTTGAATCATTCATTTAATCAAAAATTTTACATACATTTTTCGTTATTCCTATCTATTATTTCGTTATTCTTATTTATTTACTTACTAAATTACTTACTTCTTATCGAGAAGATATCGCCAACATTTAATAACCGGATAATTAGAATTAGATATTTATATATGCAATTAATCTAATCTGTATATACAGAATTACGCAGTCGCGTGAAAAGTTAATTATTGGCCTAATTTAATTTAATTTACTATTGTCTATCAGCTTTTTTAAAATAATAGATAGAAATCAATAATAAATATGTTAGATATTGTATTTAATTATTGCATTTATCATCTTGCTTTATTTAACAAACATGATGTTTATATCTATAATTACGTAAAATTAAATAAAATAAATTATTGACTTAATTTAATTTTATCTACCATCGGCTTTTTAAAAGTAATAGAAATCAATGATAAATATCTGACCATTACGTCTATATCATCTTGCTCTGTTTAACAAATGTGAAATTTTTCTTACCTAATTTTTTGCCAACAAAATCGTTTGGAAAGGAAATACGCGAATTTGAGTTACAAAAATGCACATACACCACTTTTGATTCGCTTCGTTTAGTAAGAAGGATATCTCTTTTCGTTGTTCTTGTTTTTTTTTGTTCTGACATATTGGATAAATTGATGTTTGGATATTTTTATTTAAGACAGAATTTAATAAAAGAATAACAAATTCTTTTTATCTATCGAATTAGTTTTATTTCATTTTTTTTTTATAAAACTTAAACAGAATAGAAAAAGTAACAAAATAAGAAAATTATTTATTAATTGAGATAAACGATTAAATAAGCATAAAAAGTAATGTTTATATCATTAAAAAAAATTTACTATTTATAAACGTAAGTTTTTTTTTATTATATTACACATCCACATATGTTGAGTATAAAGTAAATAATAATATATAACTTTCAGCGTCTCTGTGTGTGTGTGTGTGTGTGTGTGTGTGTGAAAATGAAATATAAGCAAATATATTAAAAAAGTGAAATCTTCCGTCTTGTAATAAATCTTTCACATGTCATTGTCGTAATGCAATAGTAAATCGGTTTATAAATAGAACGTATATGTCTTTTATATCTATAAACGTATTTGAATCTACAATATTATAACTATACTTTCTCTTCAATCCGATAAATCTATATGTACACGTGGAAGGAATTTTTAAAATATTCATGTTAAAATATTCATTTTCAAGTAAGAGGACTTAATTATTGTTAAGTAATTATGGTATACATATATATATATATATATATATATATGTATATATTCATTTTATCTGTTAATTTTGTGCAATATTTTATACGCTATTTTTCTATAAAATTAAAACCAATTACCGTAAATCTACAATTCTAATATTTCATTTGAAAGTACATCCTAATTATATTCTTTAAATGAGTGGTAATTAATTAATTGGATAATATCTAGCAAATTTTGTAATGTGACGTATCTAACGGTATTACCCAAAGAACTACCAGTTATCGTAATTCATAGCAGAATTAACTCAAAGTTCGAGACATAAAGTTTCCGCAAAATAAAATCGAAAGCGATACGTTCCAAGTATTTGTATTGCGTGTGTTTAAGTTTTCACTGATTACAAAAGACCTAGGTGCAAATTAGTACTATATATAATTAAATTTTTCTTTGTTATATCGCGGAAGTACTAGAAATGTACCATTCTTACATATACAACCATTCTTTCAATATAATCCAAATTCAATTTTCCATTTTCGAACCGTTGTTTGACCCCGTTTATAATAGTTTTATAACTTAAATGGCTTTAATATTTTTATTCTTTATCAAATTTATACATTAATAATTAATATGTATAATTATCATCATCTCTATCCTACTTAACTCTTTAATCATGTATTTATTAAGATGCATTTTACAACATAGCAATTTTCCGTTCTAAGGATTGCGAGTTTGTTGACGAATTGATTTTTCCCTCTCGACGTTTCCGTCCGTTACTTGTCAGTAAGTTAAAATGACAGCAAAAATGGACAGATGAAGCAATTATTTTTCCTTCATGATGAAAGAAGATGATTGTCTTGGATAGTACATATTTAATAGCATTATTGCTACATACACTGTGCATACTTACAATTAATTACTTATCAATTAGAGAATCATTACATTACATAATTATTACACTCTATTTATTCTAATTACAAGCAGGAATCAATCAATGCAATTTTCATGAAAGTCTACGAATTGATTATAGTTCTCTTTTATTTCGTCGGTTATAATTTCTATGGAATTGTATAGCTCATTTGTAGGTTCATTTTTCGTTTTATCGAGAGATATAATGCGAACGCATTTCTAATAACGATGTAACTTGTTTCATGTAATACGGAAGTTGAAGAGAGATTGACATACATGAGATATTTGTTTCGAAATTATTATTTGAACTAAATAGCGGTGAAAATCGATGAAGAATAAGACGTAATGTCGATGTAACTTCTGTATTGATTAACGACGTTTTATTTTTTTCTAAGTGTTACATAAAATGAGAACCGGAAGAAAATTTTATAATCTTTAGAAAGGGGTTATAAGTTATAATTTTGACTTTGTAATGCAGATAAGAAATGTTTGGAATATTCATTGCAGATTTAATTACAGCGTACGTAACTTATTACGTACTTATTAATATCCGTAATGTAATACAAAAACAATGAAATAAATATATTGTGCATTTTTAAATATTAAATAATTAATTGTGCAAAGAAGTCTTCGTATAATCTTTTTCTATAGCTCTCTCTGATACTTTTATGTTAAATAGTTTAGGTTATGATGTAATATCTGTTATAATCATCAGTATCACTATCGTTACCTTATCTCTATCTAGACTTCTATTATATTTTTACATGTTACAATAAATATATTTATGAAGGAAATCGTAGGTCGAAGAAACAAAGCGTTGATTTCGCGTTACCATTCTGAATGTTTCTGAGAGAGGCCAAGGCTCTCTTGCAATATTATTTCAAAATCACGTTCACTTTTGTGAATCACCTTCGTATTTCTTTATTTTTTCCTCGCATTTATTAAATTCGATACACACTAGCGAATCTTCAACGGTTCTAATTATATCCAGAATAAGAATTTTTTTTAATGAACGACCTTACTAATTTCTTCAAACTGGGATAATAACTTGAAGAAATTATTGCACATTATTTCGAACGCCAACAAAAAATTATTACATAAAAATATATATGAAAATGTATGCAAGAATTACATTTGGGTATCACTTTATAAGTCATCTTCCCTATATTCCTTTTTCTTCACACAATGTATTTAAATCAAAGCACATTAATAATCAATATATAAAACCTATGTATTCATATAATATACATTGGTATACAGGCAACTAGAATCAATGTGTTGATTATAATTTAACAATATACAATACTAATTTGATTTCGAACGATTACGAAAAATTCCGGACGTTTCTAGTTTATATATTGATTATTAAATTATGAGAGTCATAAAATTTGATATTTTATTAATATTTAAAGTTTTCAAATTTTAAGCAAATTTAAAGATCAATAAATCTTTGATAATCTTGGTTATATTTATGATAATACTGTCTATAGAGCCTCTCAAAGC